TTTCAATGCTGAACTATAATATTCTCCTTTATTGGTAAATACTTTCTATCATAACATTCCACTGACTTTCTCTAGCTGATGGCCAAAGAGAACAAAATGAAGAAGTAGATCTGATGAAAAGGGCCACATGGAAGGTTTGTCCTGCCCTGGTTTGTCACTTCCCTGTTCAGACAGGGATAATTGAGCCTTTGATGTTGAAAAGTCTGAAGAATTTCAGATCAGGAACCCCTTAGGACCATATATTGAATCTTCTTCTGTATATGCTGAAGTTGACAAAGGATTAACACAACAAACAAAGCAGTACAAGAAATGGCATGATTTAAAAATGATGTGGAGTTACAAAGAATTCTCAGCCACCGTAACACTGAAATGAATTGAGTATCTTTTTATAGAGTGGATTCAGACTACTCACTGAGAAAAAATGAGGAGGTTCTGCAAAAAATATTTTTAATAATTGCTATCTTAATCTCTTCTTAGATACATTGATAACAAAAAGATATTTAATTGGTAATTGAAGAAATGCATATAGGGAGTTTTCTACCTAGGCATCTGTGGACCAGATAAACACTCACTGCCTGCCACGACTGAATAATTGAGATCCTCTTTCTAAGACTCATTATGGTTGGTTGTTTGGAACCTCCAGATCCATGTATTGCATGTATTGCATGGACCACAGCATAAAGAGCATTGTAGATATTGTAACTTTCACCTTCCATGCTTGTTTCAAAAATGTACAGCAAGATACATTCTGTAAATTCTCCTTTCCTGTACATGGTTTTACCCTCTTTGGAAGGATCCTGCCTGGTTTGTCCATCATGCAGCTAAACAACCATTCCCAACATTGCAGGAGAAAGACGTCCCCTTCTAGCTTCAGGGGATCTAAAGACAGGAGGAAATGGCTGAATCTCGAGACATCCTCCGTGTGGTGCCTAAAATGCAGAGCCCCATGGAAGGGCTTTACTACTTTCATTATATCTTGATTCTTTAGCACACTAAGTTTCCAATGGGAAGTTAAGACCCAAACTTTCCAGAATGATGTGTTTCTCAAATGATCATGGAGACTCATTGCTGCCTGTACATTTGTAATACTATTAGAGTCTCCAAATAGTATAATCACTTCTGCTTCAGACCAAGTTTCCAAACTATGAAGTAATTTCACAATTGTAGTACTAAGAAAATCTGATTGGAATATTTCAGTGAAGGTCAGACATAGCTCCTTCTCCTTGAGCATTGGCATTAGAAATGAGATGAAATTCTCTCCCCTCTCATCTTCAGGGGCCAGAAGCCCAACCCAGTTCCACTGAAAATCCAAGTTGGACTAAACCTTCATACTGAGCAAATTCCTTGGGATTAATCCGGAAGAAGGAAGGATAAACTTTTCTGTCCCCTTGAGTGAACTCAAAGCCAATGCTGAGCTGGAGAAAGTGAGATTCCTGATAGAGTAAATTTTAGGGGTCACCATTATGTAAATTATTGTCCCACCAGTGAGGTTGATTCACTTTGAGTCTCAAGTTTAATTTTTTTGCCTTCTTAGGAAGTAGCATTATATATTAGGAAGAAGAGATTACATATTTTGAGTGATGGTAACATGTCAGAAGCCAAGGGAACCATATGTCAATTTAATACAGAGAATGTGCTACACTACACTTTTATGAAGAATAGATTAAAAAGGAATTTTTCTTGGCAAGTACCACATTTCAAAATTATCTCATTATCTATCACTTTGGGCTTCTATAAAAACATATTCTGACACAAAAATATAAACATATGTCCCACAAAACACCTTTGTTTTCCACCTTTTGTTTCTGGGTGTTCTTCGGTTGTTTTTGCATTCTATACTGTATGCAGTGCAGCCCCCTTACCTGTGGGACCTTGAAGATGCTGAAGATGGAGGCCATCTGCCTTGAGGAACTGGGGTTGAGATATCCGACGACAGAGAGCAGAGGGTCCTGCCTGTCACATTTCTAACCTGGAACCATTCGGCCCCAGGTGGAAAGAAGGGAGAGGCTGTTTGAGCAAATTTCTATCTCAATCTGAGAATTGCTATAGATGTGAAAGGGTGATGTTGGAGGAAAGAACTAGATCCTTGTTGACATCTCTGATGGCAAACATCAAGGCCATGAACTGCTGGTAATTCTTGGGTATGATTCTACAGTAAGAAAATCATTGGGGAAATTTTAAGCCAAGCTTGTGTGTGCTGGTGGAATTTGTTGTGTCTTTTAAAGAAATGTTCTTTGTAGCAGGAAATTTCAAATTCCACTGGGTTTGTTTCATTGTTAAGGCTGTTCCTTGATTAATTGCCTTGACAGAAAGGAGAAAATCCTGTTTCTCCACACTACGGATCTTTTTATACACCTCCATCAGCCCTCCCTTCTTCACTTTGCTTCAGTGATTGTAATCCTGAATCCTGCCCAATTGCTTTTTTTCCACCCTAATTCATTTGTTTCCCCATTGAAGCAGCTTTTTTTATGTCTGAAAACCATTGTTGAGCACAAGACAGATGGCCTTTTTTTACTCCTCCTCCATACTGTAAATGTGTTGACCTCATCATTGAGTTTTGCATTAGGAATTTCTGTTCAAATTAATATTGTACATCAACTTTTTGCTCGTTTATTTGCTTCCTGATCAAGAGTTCAAGAAAGATGGAGAATTCTAGATTATTTCATGAGTTTGGTTCTTTATTGAGAAAATCAGAGAGATCTGAACTATGCCAGGGCATTGCAAACATCACTAGAACAAGCATTTCTGAAAAGAGTCCCTGAACATAAAGCAAACCAAATAATTATTTACACGTTTCCCCTTTAGGTTGAAACTTAGAAAATATCCTCCAGAAATAAAGATGGGTCTTTTTTTAAAGGATTTGAAGTAGAATTTATGTATAGTTCCTAGGGGAAAATTTGCACCAATAATGAAATGACCAGGCCTGTTAAAGTCTCTGGCAGTGTGTCCAGTGTTTCTCAACACACACCTAATTTGCATCCTCTTAGCAGAAATTGGAGGCAGGAGCCAGAAGAGCAGCATCAGTAGGAGGAGGAGAGGCATCCCTGCCGTTCTTCTCACTTTCCCTCCTAGATTAGAAATCAAGAGGTTGAATTGCAGGGAGGACTTGAAATCTCAGCAGAGCTTTAGCACAAGAGAGATAATTTGTGCCACCTGGATGGCCCCAAGGCTAATTTATGTGTAACTGTGCTTCCTTTTACCTGTGTTTATGACCAAAGAGGATACTAAGGCCAAATGAGTCTCAGAAAACCCTGGAGTTGGCTCTTTGTAACACAAGGCAAGGTGACATGTCCTGCCCCCATCAGGAGAACTCCGAGTATCTAATTTAAAGCATGTTTCCTCTTGGAAGATTTTTCTGTGTAGAAATCCATAGGAGAAACGTTAGAAATTACTGTTCATCTGATAATTGCATGGAAAAGCAATTGTCTTATTTACTGAGCAATAGCTACTTTTCATACAGCAGATGGAGAAAAATGATTTTGGGTCTCCTGTTGTTAATCAAAAAATCAGATGCAGTTGAAAGTCAAGGTGAAGTTGGGTATTTGAGTTGTGTGAAACTGAGCATGTGTACACAATGTTGAATAAGGTGGAGCTATGTTTGTTTGGATAGTGTTCATGGGGCATTGTGGCACTTGACAATCAGTTGTACCCTAGTTAGCCTGGGTAATCATACCAATGCTCAGATGGAATAAGTACTGTATACATACTAATATGGCGGGTCATGAAATTAGATACTAATTTCTCCTATGAAAATTAAAAATTGGCAGGAGGATCTCTGAAGGTATCAGACTAATCTAAAGGTTGTCTAACAACTAGNAGGGCTTTAAAAGTAACGACTTTTAAAGGTTATAGGGAGAGGAAGGCAACGCAGAAGGGAGAATTATAAAAACTAAGAAGGAAAACCGATATAGAAAGCTGTAAAATTACTGTATATCGTTATGTATGTTCTGTGTTTTGTTTTGTCTTATTGTGTGTTTTTTCTTTGCTGTGTCTTTCCTATTGTTTTTAAATATCAAAACATTTAATAAAAATTATTGGGGGGAAAAAGAAACTAAAAGTAGTCCTCAGGTTATGATGGCCATCTGGAGTGGAATTTCTGTTGCTAAGCAATGCAGTTATAAACCACAATGATGACATGTAACCACGTCATTTTAGGCAATAGCAATCCCAACAGTCCCGGCTGCTATCATAACCAAAAACCACGCCACTTGTTAAGAGAAAAAGCTACATGACCAGAGTCCTAGGCAAGCAGGCCAGAGGGTGAGGAGCTCTGGGTGAGTGCAACTGAATGTGGGTTGGCCGGTGGGGGCCAGGGGTGGGCACGACTTAGTGTGTGCCAGCTAGTGAGGATAGCAGGCATGTGGTACTGAATGCAGGAAGACCAGCGGGGACCACTAGAGAGCATGGGCAGGAAGGTGGGTATTACAGAGATACCTACAGGTGGCCCTCAACTCACAAGTTTGTTGAGTGACCAAAGTTACAACGGCACTGAAAAATATGACTTATGACTCTTTTTGACAGTTATGACCTATGCAGCATCCCCACGATCATGTGATCAACATTCAGACGCTTGGTAACGGGTTCATACTTATGACCGTTGCTGTGTCCCGAGATCATGTGATCCCCTTTTGCGACCTTCCCGCGAGCAAAGTCAACCAGGAAGCCAGATTCACTTTAACAACTGTGTTACTAACATATCAACTGCGGGCGTTGAGTTTGACACCCTCTGCAATATGCTAAGATGAGGGCTGCATCCTCACAACATAGCGAACCACAATGGGTGCAGTTTGGTCTAGTGTCAACCTTTGAACTTCAGAAGAGGATAATAAAAGATGAGAGGGACCCATCCTACCCAAGGTCACATCCTCTCATTGGCTCTTAAGCTTAGATCCTGGTTAAATGACCCAATCCTGCAAAATATGTGACGTGGTTATTTCTTTACCGAAAAAAATAATAATTAATAAAAGTGGTTTGGTTTTGTTCCTGCCAGAGACACTTACCTGGCAAGTTCTGCTTTCGTCAGCAAATCCCTAGCAAGAGTTAGGTTTTGCACTGTACAGTTCAGGATAACGTCCACTCTGTTAAGCTGGCCGATTCTGTCCCAGATCTCCTTAATCAGACTGTCAATCTCACTTTGACTGATGGGCTGGGGAATGTTCAGGACCTGTTGAGCCACCAGCTCAATGCTCTCTGGATCGGCACCTTCCTCTAGGGAGACAAGCACAGGCCTTTGATGCTCATCTAGTCACCAGTCACCAGCCTCGCCCCTGCCCCTCCAAACCAATTATTACAATATGAACAGAGGTGGGTTTCACATAATTTTACCACTGGTTCGCCGTGCATGCGCATGTGAGCTTCTTCGCATGCGCGTAGGCTTCCACGCATGCACTTTGCTTGCACACGCGGCTTGCATGTCTGCACATGGCTTAGAAAACGTGGCTAAATAGGACGGCATAGCGCCGGGGTGGGTGGGCGGCTGGGCACAGGTAGCCACTATCGATTTGTTTGAACTAGTCTGAACTGGCTGAATACCACCACTGAATATGAACATTGTCAGAACACACTTCCATTACTAACACCCATATTTTCCTTCCTGCATAGGGCAAGAATGGGTGGAAGCTTTACAGAGGGAGACCCGAACTCAAAATAAAGAGGCATTTCTGGTGGGTGAGACTCCCTGCAATCATGAGAGCTTCATCACTGGAAGTTTTCAAGTAACGGTTGGATAGCTAAAAGTCTGTAGAGATTCTCAGTCATCCAGGTCATGGTTGTCCCAAAAGTGCTTTTTCAGGAGGCAACTGGACTTTCTGGATCTTTTTCTTTTGAAGACGTTTCGCTTCTCATCCAAGAAGCTTCTTCAGCTCTGACTGGATAGTGGGGAATGGAAGGTTGGATAACCATGTGTCTGGGGAGAGCATGAGGATTCCTGCCCTGGGCTGGGGATCAGATTAGAAGATCTCCAATATTTCTTCCAACCCTATGATTCTACGAAGGTAGGCTTTACATTTTATTAAGGCAGCAGGAGGATACATTTACTTTTAGACATGCTTTATCTCAGGTTTGGTGTGAGCAATGCTCTGATACCTGCTAGGAAGTCTTTTATCTTCTGGATGAATTCTCTCAGCTTGGCTGTGGATTTCTCCACCTGGTTCCGTGCTCCTTGAGCGTGGTCCAAGATGTCCTGAACGTGGTTCCTGGCATCCCGTGCCAGGTTCTGGACTTCTTGCACCTAGAATGGAAGCTTCAGCATTGCATTTCTCAGGGGCATCTAGTAGAGGTATCAAAAAAATGATGCCGTAACCATGTAATGCAGGGGTGTCAAACTCAAGGCCAGCGGGCCAGATGTGGTCCATGGGGTGCTTAGATCTGGCCTGCAGGGTCGCCCTGGAAACGGCGAAGGACCAGCCCGTAATACCTCTGCCAGTGAAAACAGAGCTCACAAGGAATGCATGAGGACCTCCCGAGCTCCGTTTTTGCTGGCAGAGGGTTGCAGGAGGCCGTCACAGCCAAAAACGAAGCTCAGAAGCCCATTTTTGCTGGGAGAGCATTTGAGCCACCACAGGCGCCCTCGACCCGAGTGATGTCAAGCTGACCACGCCCACCATAGCCACGCCTACCCCAGCCCCCGATGTCAAACACAACCTCAATGAAATCGAGTTTGACATCCCTGATATAATGCATGTAGGAGGGTAAATATTATCTTGATTCTTTTTTCAATTCAACCTATGCCGTTTATTGTACTTTGTGTTTTTTGACAGTTTTGTGGGTACACATTGGAACTGTTCACAAGAGGAACAATATCCTGACTTTTAAGGAAGAATGTTTATTTACAGGTAGCCCTCGACTTACAACAGTTCATTTAGTGACCATTCAAAGTTACAACGGCACTGAAAAAAGTGACTTATGACCATTTTCCATAGTTGCGACCTTTGCAGCAACCCCATGCGCATGTGATCAAAATTCAGACACAAGGCAACTGGTTCATACTTATGACCATTGCAGCATCCTGGGCAGGGGTGGGTTCCGCCTGCTGCCACTGGCGGTTCTCTCAAGGATGTGCCCCATGTGAACTTGATGCATACTATGCACGCATGCACAGTATTGAAAAAATGATGGCAGCAAGATGGCAGCATTTACAGCGCTGCCGATAGAACCGGTTCAGGGATATGACAGGCCAAGTTACTACCTACTTGGCCAAATCAGTTGGAACTGGTAGGAACCCACCTCTGTGTCAGGCCTGCAGGCGGTTTCTTTTGGGATCTTTAGCCTGCCACACTAATATTCTACTCTACTATGCTGTTTCATTAGTGGGGAATTGGGAGGGCGAATAGTAAGGAGTAGAATGTGATGTTGTCAAAATAAAAATTTCATTTCAAGCCCAAGGTCATCTTTTGTTCTCTATATCTCTGCACCTGACCGGAACTGGATGGGTGGAACTGCCAGCAGGGTAGTGGAAGATTGGACCATGTGATGGACTTGTGCGTGTGGGGGCAAAATCTTCAACTTTCAACTGGGTGGGGAAAACCAAGAAGCTCAGATTTGGGTTTTCCCACATGTGCCAACATGGCTCTCTTAATAAATTGGAACTTTGAGCAATACTTTGCCTTGGACTCTGATTTAATTTTGGATGCTATTTGGAACTCCGACACTCTGATCCTGGGATCATGTGATTACCTTTTGCAACCTTTTGACAAGCAACACAAATGGGGATGCCAGATTCATTGGTTCACCGACAAAAGGGCAAACGACAAAACCGTGCCTGACTAAACCGCGTGTTCTAAAGCGCTCCGACAAATGAGCGCTGAATCGCACCAACAACAGCGCGGAGACAGAAGCACGCTGTAAAACTAAACCTAACTCTAAACCTAACCCCTAAACGTAACGCTAAACGTAACGCTAAACCTAACCCTAAACCTAACCCTTAACCTAACCCTAACCCTAAACCTAATCTTAACCCTAACCCTAACCCTTAACCTAACCCTAAACCTAACCCTTAACCTAACCCTAACCCTAACCCTAACCCTAACCTTAAACCTAACCCTAACCCTTACCTTAAGTTAAATCGGCTTTCTGTCGACGTGCTATTGTAAAGCGCCCTTCTGTCTCCGTGCTGTTGTCGCCGCGTTGATGACGTCGCGGTTTTAGCGACGCGGTTTAGTCGGGCTCGGTTTTGACATTCGCCCTTTTGTCGGGTCACGAGATTCATTAACAACCAGGTTAGTGACTTAGCTACTGCAGGATCACCTCATGGTGACATGGGAGGCAAACATGTTTAATAAATAAATAAATAAATAAATAAACAAACAAACAAACAAACAAATAAAATTAGTCTGGCAAGATTCCTATCAATGGGCAAGTAGGAATATGCACACCATTCTGATCAGCTCCCTATGTCATCCTGGTTCCTTACAGCTGACAAAAGTACGTACATATATACATACGTTAAATCAACTAAGAAATGTTTTTCTACAAATTAACAGTATCTCATCATGAGATGCTTCCATACAGTCAGCCTGGCATTGTACCTTATTAACCATGGTGACCAGCTGACTTGCTGTGGTCTCCAGCTGCTGGGAGATGTTCTGGGCCGAATGTAGGGCCTTGATGGACACAGGAAGAGCTCCAGTACAATTAGGGCCTCCACAGTGCCTTTGGCCTGAAGTGTCCTTACAGGAAGCTCCTCCACAAGGAGCGTCTTCACAGGCCTCGTCTCCAAAACCTCCGCAGATCTAGGGCAACAGACAAAGGTTATCCAGCAAAAAGAGATCATTGATGACCTCTGGAACCTCATCAATAGACCAAGAATGAAAATGCCAGACTCGGGAACAAGGAGCAGGAAAGGGAAATGAATTCAATATGCATTTGACTGCTAACTTGTCTATTTTTTATTTGTTTGTTTAATCAATATGCATAAACCTAACTTTGACATCGGCATTTTTTCCAAATTCTGCAATGTGATTTCTATTAAAAATAACACACAAGGGAAAAATATCAACAAAATACAAATTGCCATGTATAAACATCTGTTGCATTAAGGAATGTGGTGGAATGTAATATGAATTCCCAGGGGGAAGGGATTGCTTTCCAGAGGGCAAAGAGGAACAGAGCTTGGGAAGTTTGCTCAGCAGGAAGAGAGTTAAAACTAGCAGTTCCCAAGATTATAACTTATAGTTAAATGTAGCTGTAGTTATGTAGATAGTTGCTTTAGTCTGGCAAGATTCTGTCTATAGGTGAAGAACAATAAAGGAAACTACTCAGAAGTTACCATATTTTTCGGAGTATAAGACACACCTTTTTCCTTCAAAAAAGAGGGTGAAAATCTGGGTGCGTCTTATACACTGAAGACAGCATTTTTTGCCTCCTGAAACCCCACCCCTTCACCAAAATGGCTGTGCATAGCCTTTAGGAGCTGTTTTTTGCTCAATTTACACCCTCCCCCCCAGCCCTCAGGACTACTCAGCAAGGCTCCTAAAGGCTATGCATGCCCTTTTTTTGACAAAAGATAGGCCCATTTTTGCAAAAAATGGGCCTTTTTGCTCCCCCCACCCCGAGCACTTTACAAGCCTCCTAAAGACTATTCATACCCTTTTTAAAAAAAAACACTGAGAAAAATGGGCCATTTTTGGGAGGTCTGCAGAGTGCAAAAACTTTTTTTTAATTTGCCTCTTCAAAACCTTGGTGCGTCTTAAACTCCGGTGCATTTTATACTCTGAAAAATCCGGTATTCCATATGCCATTCTTGATTCTCGAGGCCTGACGGGGAATATTTTAAAAATTGTGTGTATTAGACACCATAGCAAAGAAAAAATGTGTGTGTTTGGAAGCATACGCACCAAAAACATATACGTTTAGGTGACCATTCTTACAGAAAAGTTCTCAAATTCAACCTAGTAAACCTGGCTGGCTTGCAAACATCAAGAATGGGTGGGGGAGGGGAGGGAAACTTTTTAGAACTGGCAAACTTGCAGATTTGGCACTTTGGTCCATATGTAGTCTAACCAGAGGGCAGTTTGGGTAGGGCTACCATTTCATCTCCAGCAAACTCCTCTTGGCTTCTCCAACTGCTATTCCTTCCCTCTTATGGAACTTACTTTCTGGTTGATCCTGTTCAGGCTGAGGGCATCAACTTTTCGTTGGATAGTATTCAGAGCCTTTTGGTGAGCAGCTGCTCCCTTGCGAAAAGCCTCTCCTCTTTGTCTCAACAGCTCCACCGTGGCCAGCCGGGTATGTTTGGCTTGGACCACGGGACTTTGACGCCCTCTAACGGAGGTGTTGGCCTGCCTCAGGGCCTGTTCTGACTGCTGGAAGTACTCCACGATGCTACGGAAAGATTCTGCCGGCAG